CAGCTCCAGAAACTTTGCATCCAAAAAAGGAGAGGCTGGTGTAGGTGGAGAGGCCCAAAAGGAAAATCCTAGTTCAAGTGGTTTCAGTCAGAAGCCACTGTGTACCTGGGGCCCAGGGAAAATGGGGCTTTACTTTCTCAGCCACCAAAAGTATAAAGAAGACCGATTCTAAACTTGTACTAGAGGGCAGAAGTAAAGATGAACTACAAATAACAATAAAAGTCTGAGGTATTTGTGCAACCCATGCCTTACTGAAATAAGTAATATGAGACCATGAAGCTGCTTAATTCTTGTGTCACAGATTTATGAAACAAAGGGCCTGGTTATAGTTTGGGGATTTTTCTCACTCCTTTGACTCATAACAACCTCCTTTTCAGAAAATCCTGGGAAAACATTTTAATTAGATGTACCGTGCAATATACCGAGATCAACTCACAATATTGTGGAAGACCTTTATTAAAAGGAAACAAACAAAACAGATCCTTGAATAAGCAACTATCCACCTCAAAGATGTAAGTAAATAAAATCACTTTATCACTTAAAAGCCCTGCAGGTTTAAGACTTTCTGGTGTAGATTTCCCATAAGTCCCTTGTGGGCTTTTTGCTTCAGATCAATCAAAGGATGTTATATGGCATCAAGCTCCCTGTCTCAGTCCAGCTTCCTGGTGTTCAACCTGCTGGACTCACCTCTATAGCATCACCATCTTGTTTACCAAGTCATCCAGGCAAGGTGAGGACAAGTCTGTCTGGAGGGTTTTCTAGCCTAAGAAAGGTGCCTCACACCCTCAACCTCAACTGATACAAAAGACCAAAAGGTCTAACTCTGATATTTCATCAGTTGAGAACATCTACCTCCTTGAGTTATGAAATCAATCTAATAATCAAAGATTTTCAAACTTAGGTATGTTTAGTCTCTGCCAGATTCCTTGAAGGTAAGAGTCCTTGTAGAATCCTCAATGAACTTCACCAAAGAGGAATTTCTTTACCACACATACTTTCTAAGCTTGAGCCCACATTCTTCTGGACTCTGACATGTCCATGTGGGAGAGTGTATCCCAGACTTCTGAAGGGGATAAGATGTAACAGCTGTTCTTATTGTACTATCTTAGCAAATACCCTCATACCTTAGAGCCCTGAAGGGAGGGGTAGTTAAATACTTTCTGGGGACCCAACCTGCCTGTGGGAGTGAGAGAACAGAGAGTGAATTCAGAAGGGGTGCTCTAATTGACTTTCTGTGTCATCTCCACATGTGAATTGAGACAGAGCCTGCAATCCCCCCCCCCTCATGATTATCAGCATTCTCTTTGCATTGGCTCTTCTCTTCCTTTCTGTTTTTCATTCTCTCCTAATCATTAGCCATGCACATCTTGGAGCAGATTGGGGCAGGCTCCTATTTATAGCCTCTGATACATAGATTTTGATAGATTTGGAGCTGGAAGAGTAGTCCAATCCATTAATTTTGCTACTGAAGAAACGAAAGCTCAGAGAGGTTTAATGATGAACCCAAACATACAAATAGTAAGCAATGTATTTCCTTATGTAGCACCCATGGAGCTAAGCATGAATTCTGACCTCTTTTAACCCCATGAAGAATACCCCAGATGCCTTCTTCATTTGTATCATATATTCATAGCCCATGTAAGTAAGCTCTATGATATCTTGATCCCAACTGTCTACTTCCATTTAACAGCTGGGTTCCCAGAGATTAGCTGGCTACATCTCCCATTCAGGATTCTAGGGGTATCACTGAGGGGCAAGGAGGTGGCTTTTTCTAATGCCACTGACTTGAATCCCCACTGGTATGCTCCTCCCCAAGATTATCAGTTGAAAATTACTCAGCCTTATGTAGTTTTTTGTTTGTTTGTTTGTTTGTTTTTAGCTTTTTGGTGAGGCAGTTGGAGTTAAGTGACTTGCCAAGTGTAAAGAGTCTGAGGCTGGATTTGAACTCAGGTCCTCCTGATTCCAAGGCTGGAGATCTACATACTGCACCACCTGCCTGCCCCTTAAGTAGCTTTTATAAAGGGGTATTTACTAAGGTGGTAAAAAGTCACTCAAAATATTCCCCCCAAAGTCTGTGACACACTTTCTCAGAACTGCATACATATTCCAAAGGAAAGTAGACTCAGGTTTGGATGGAGTATATGGCCAATGGGTAACTCGCAGTTCCTGGTTGCTAGAAGTTTTCTCCCATTCAAGAGTGCTCAGGGAGTTTCCTTTAAGTATGATACAGTCCCTTTGCTGGACTCCTTGTAGGGCTGCGGGTCTAGCCTGCCCTTGGATCCTCATAATGCCAACATTGTCACAATTTGATCTAGGGAATGCTATTTTAGGACATTGATAGGAAGATCAGAAGTTCAACATCCTGTGAACACTTTGAAGCCGAAAGGTACTCCTGGTCAATGATTGGAAGGATACCTGGCTAAGGACAAAGGAGAGGCCTCTTTCTTTCTCCCCTCTTCTTTCCAGGTGGTTCCTCCTTGGGAATGTATTGGAAAGGCACTTGCCCCAATTTCTGGAATATCCCTTGTTAGGGCCCAGCTCTGGACTGTGGCCTCCTGTGGGGTAGTAAGAGACGCCTGGAGGTGCTAACCTGCCCCTATGGGCACTGGGAACGCCTCAGTAACAGCGCTGAGCTCCGCCTACGAAGGAGGAACATGGGAGGAGCTCGGGCAAGTTCCACCCACGAGGTGGAGCTAGGGCGAATATAAGAGCAGGACCCCGGGGGTGTCTGAGAGAGAGATCAGGAGTCGGGATGGAGTGAGAGCAGAGGCCGGGACCTTGGGAGGCAGGAGAGCATGTAACCAATAAATCGTGTGCAGCTGCCAGCTCGGGTGTTCTGTCTAGTCATTCCCCTCCACCCTCGGAGGGGCCGGAGACGTCCGAAGACCGGGAAGGGTAAGTATCCAAGCGATGGCCCGGGTGTAGAGACCCCGGGCAATCCCTCCTTTCTAAACTCACTTGATAATTTAGGGATGATCCTTTGGTTCTGGGGCAGGGTGAGATTTCATCAGCCTATGGAATATAATTCTTGTGTAGCACACCAATTTGAAGGCCTCTTCATGCGTAATGTAAGGTCTTTTGATTGATTGATTGAATGGTTGAGACATGTTCTCACCTAGTTAAGTTATCAAGAGCTAAAATGGGTTAGGGTCATTTTGGTTCCTTATATATCTGTGCTTCACAACTGGACTGTAAATATCTTTCAGGGCAGAAATGATATTTTCTGCTCTACTGGTGTCCCCCATAGTACTTCATACTAAGGGCTGGGCATAGGGCAGTGACTCAATAAATGCTCATTCAACTGAGCTAACCAGAACTGACCTCTGCATCTCTTTTAATCATACTGAGTGTTAGTGCCCTTAGGGATCAGAGAGTTCAACCTCCCAATTTAACAGAGGAGGAAATGGAGGCCCAACAAGTTAATGTTTTTTGAACCACATTGATAGATATAAGAATGGTGGGATTTGAAAACAGGAAAAACAAAAACAAAACCTTAGGGATCATCTCTAGACTAATCCCCATTTCTAGATGTGGAAAATGAGGCACAGAGAGATGGAAGTGAGTTATCTGTGGTCACAAAGTTAGCAAGTAGCAGAGCTAGGCTTTGGACCCAGATGGGCTAATTCTACCATATTAGGCAGATTTCACTCAGAACAGAAAAACTGGTCTCTAAAAACTTACCGAGCTTATAGAAATCTCACCATAGTGGAAAGAGCACCAGACAGGGAAGCAAAGCCAGTCTACCTTCCTCAATTCTACCACTAACTTACTTGTGTGAACTCTCTGGAATTGTTTCCTCCTCTATAAAATGAAAGGGCAAGTAGAAGCAGAAAATCTCTGAGGTGCCTCAGTCCTAATATTCTAAGTTATCTAACAATCATTCCAAGAAAGGGGACACCCCCAAATTAAACCATCATCATAACCCTTAGCTGATAGAAGCCAGCTTTTCCTTTTGAGAAATCTAGTTTTACCATCATTACCCACTCCCTAAGCAACTCTTTTGTCAGCCCAGTGGAAGTAGGGCTTCTGCCATATCCCTTGCATTCAATATTTGCCCAGCCTGTCATGCTCAGTGGTTGTTGGAGCAGGACTGAGTGTGAGGGGTAAATGTGTTAGAATTGTACAGCTGGCTGTGCTGCCATCTGATGGACCTTCAGCCTCAGCCATGCTAGCTTGGGACCGTGCCCAAACCAGGACTGCCTGGCTACTCATGGGATGGACGATGGATCACAGCAAGTGCCCTTGTTTGTTATTTACACGACTGTCCCCAGGACCCCATATGTTACACTGAACCCTCTTTCTGGTGTAATTGAGATTTTTAAGTTAGATGCATGAGGGTCCCATGTCTAATCACTCACCCAGCATTACCAGACTCTAGGCTCTGGGCCAAGATTTGAGAAAGACAATAAATACTGGTACTAAAACTAGCCTGTCAGCCCCTTGGACAAGTTTTCTGGGAGCCAGAGGATATTGTAGCTTGGATCTGTTAGGCTTTCATGACCTCTTGTTCAGGAGAAAGCCTTTGAACCTGCTTCCACTGAAGACCTGGGAGGACAAAATAGGAGGAGGAAACAGGCTTTGGATGCTCCAATCAGTGTGAAGATACAGCAAATTCTGCCTGCATTTGTGTCTACAATCAATGACTGGCCCTGGCAATGGCACCTTTGGCATTATCCACTGCTCTTTACTCCCTCTCACCCATAGCTGCCAAATCTTGGCTGTTTTTACCTCCACACTATTTCTCAAATCCAGCCTGTTCTCTCTACCCAGACTCAGGCCCTGATCACTTGTCACCTAGGTTTTGGTAACAGTCTCTTAATTGGTCTCCCTGCCTCAAATCTTTCCCCATTTCAGTCCATTTTCCACACTACTGCCAAAGCAATTTTCCTTAAGGGAATATCTGTCCATTTTACTCCCCTATTCAACAAACTATAAACTACAGTGACTTCCTTTTGCTTCCAGAGTAAAATATAAACTCTGTTCAGCTTTTCAAGCTAAACATCCACTTTGGCAGCATGTATACTAAAATTGAAGTGATACAGAGAAGATCAGCATGGTTCCTGTGCAAGAATAACATGCAAATTTGAGAAGAACTCCATATTTTTCCAGGAAAGTAGGACTGGCTTTTAGTAGGAAAATTATAAACATAATTGGCCATATTAATAGCAAAAATCATGTTTATATCAATAGATGTAGGGAAAAAACTTTTGAGAAGATACAATATCCATTCCTGTTTTAAAAAAAAGACACTAGAAAACACAGGAATAAATGGAACCTTTCTTCAAATGATAAATAGTGTATTTCTGAAACTAAGAGCTAGCATTATTTGTAATGAGGATAAACTAAAAGATGGGCTTTTCCAATAAGATCAGGGGTTTAAAAAATACAAATAGTATAAAATACTTGACGGTCTACCTTCCATAACAAGTTGGAATTCTATGAAGAAAATTATAAAACATTCTTTACACAAATAAAAACACATCTAAGTAATTGGAGAAATATTCATTGCTCATGGGTAGGCAAAGCCAATATAATAAAAATGTCAACACTACCTAAATTAATTTACTTAAGTGTTATACCAATCAAAGTACCAAAGAATTCACTGTCTAAATTAATTTACTTATGTGTTAAACCAATAAAACTACCAGAGAATTACTTTAGGAAGCTAGAAAAAAATAACAAAACTCACCTGGAAAAACAAAAGGTCAAGAATATAAGGGAATTAATGAAAAAAGTTGGGGAAGAAGGGGGCCTGGCAGTACCAGATCTCAAACTATACTACAAATCTTTAATCATTAAAAATAATTTAGTACTGGCTAAGAAATGAAGAGGTTGATCAGGGGAACACATTAATTGCATAATATACAGAAGCAAATGAGTACTGTAGCCATATGTTTGACAAATCCAAAGATCCCAGATATAGGGGCAAGAACTCATTGTTCCATAAAGACTACTAGGAAAACTTGAAAGCAATCTGGAAGAAAATAGGTATAGACCAATATTTCATACCCTATACCAACACAAGCTAAAAATAGGTTATTTAGAAATAAAGGGTGACATATAAACAAATTACAGTAGTTTGGTAGAAATTACCTGTCATATCTATGGGTAGGGGAACAGGTCAAAGAAGAGGCAGAAAGGTCATAGGAATTAAAATGGACACTTTTGATTTCATAAAATGAAAAAGGTTTTACATAAAGAAAATGAATGCAGCTAAAATTAGAAGTGGAAAACAGGGATGGGAGGGGTGGTGGAGTATTTATAGCATGTTTCTTTGCTAAAGATCTGATTTCTAAGACATACAGGAAACTTTATAAGAACAATTGATAAATGGTCAAAGGAGGAGGTGCTGCCATAATTTGGGGAATGGCTAAATAAATTTTGGTGTGTATATGTGATGGAATGCTGTTGTGCTACGGGAAGTGATTGGTAGGAGGAGGGAGGACTGGAATGGATTTGAAAAAGCCTTAGAAGACTTTTGTGGATTGGTGAAGGATGAAGTAGGCAGACCCAAGAGCATCTGGAAGGTAGGAAGCTTTGAGGGATTTGGGAACTCTGGTCGGCACAATAGAACACAACCACAGTTCCGGGAAATCAAAGATGTGCATGTTATCTGACTCCAGATGGAGAGGTGGTGGATTCAGAATACGGACTGAAAAAAATACAGAAAATAACTATATATGTGTGTGTGTGTTTATGTATGTCACTTGAGATCTCCATGCAAAGAATGGGTGATCATTTGTCAAAAGTGTTGTAGTGGGGATGTCACTTTTCTACAAACCATACAACATTTTCTCTTTCCCTACTGAATAAGTCAAAGTCTTACTTATTAAAACTCTACCCACCCTTTAAGGTCTTACTCACATGTTATATCCTTATGATGCCTTCCAGAAACTCCTTTTAGATTTGACAAATGAAAGTTATCCTAAGGATAGACATTAGGTAGATAGGCAAACTTCCATATGTGTGAGTGTGTGCGTGTGTGCGTGTGTATATATGTATACACACATACATGTGTGTACATATGTATAGGCATTATATGTGTATGTGTATGTGTATACATACACAAACATACATCCATGTGTAGGTATGTGTGTTAAATACACATACACATACAAGTATGTATATATTCATATACACATGTGTGCATATGTATACATCACTTTGTAAACCTTAAAGCACCATATAAGTGCCAGTTATTGTTATCATCATTATTATTATTACTTGTCTACCATTGCCAATCTTCCAGGATGATGATGACTTCATCCCCAAAGCTGTTTATGGCATTCCAGTTGAACTCAAGCAATGTTTATAGAGCAGTACAGAGGTATGCTAGTAAATGTTTAATAACCCACTCTCCAGGGAGAAAATGTTCACAGGACATAATTTTAAGTTTAATTTGAATTATTAACATCTTGTTTTAAAGACCAAACAACCAACAAAACAATAAATCAAGTCCTGATATGCAGAGATTGTAATTTCTAAGGTTTAAATGTTTACACTGAAAACTTAACAATTGACCCTCTCAAGAGGGTTAGAGTTGGCTGTAGCACATCCCTGTAGTATCCCAACTCAAAGTCCCTGACTGTGCCTTAGCCTCATCTAAGCTAAATAAGAACAAACACTCAGACAGATGCTTATTTCTACATCTAGAATTGGAATTCACCTACCATTTGCTTTTCATGAATGGAAGGGGTCATCAAAGGTGTCCCAGAACAATTATTGTGCTCCCAGACAGCGCTCTATTCCCAGACCAGTTTCAGGATAATAAAGTACTGAGCCATAGGGATGAGGACAAGAGTAGGGCAGCTTGACTAGAAAGCTATCACCTCTGTGATGAGTAGTTGTTAATTTAATAGTGTGATTTAAAGAAAAACTTACTTGTGTGTAAAAACATTTATATTGAAATAATGAAATCACATAATATATTAAAATATAAAACAATAACTAATTTTTACATAACATGTTAAGATTTCCAAATACCTTCCTCACAAGAAACTGGTGAGAAAGCAAAAGTATTATATTTTCCATTTTTTTTTTTTTTGGTGAGGCAATCAGAGTTAAGTGACTTGCCCGGAGTCACACAGCTAGTAGGTGTCATGTGTCTGAGACTGGATTTGAACTCATGTACTCTTGACTTCAAGGCCAGAGCTCTATACACTGCGCCACCTAGCTGCCCCCTATACTTTCCATTTTACAGAGGAGAAAAATGAGGCTAAGAAAGATTAAGTGATTCACCTAGTGTCCTGCACCTAATCAGTAAGATAGCTTGGATCTGAATTTAGGGCTCTCCTGACTGAAAGTCCAGCTAGGTTTTTCTTCCATTAGATGCTGCTTCTCCTAACACACACAGACCAAATTCCATCTGCCATTTGCAGCCAGTAAGAGCAATTAGAAAATTTGTGAATCAAGATTTTTTTAATATGTTTATTTTGAAGCATGCTAATTTGTTGGTTTAAATTAAAATCCTGTATCTTGATTATTTGCAACAATACATTTAAGCCTTGATTGGGCTTGGGACCCAGCTGTGAGTTAGGAAATTTTCACTGTTTCATCCCTCATGGGTACTAATGACCATAATGAAAACATTAATTTTAAAACCAATAAATGATTGACTTTAATAGGACTCTGACTGATAGCCATATCCATTGTCCTCCCAAGTACAGATGGATTGATTAACCATGACACAAAGGGGAGAAGATAATAGGGCATGACTTTGTAAGCCATCACTACCACTCAAAGTTCAAGCCCTATTGATGGTATCTTAGAAGCAGCATCTTTGGGGTGGTGGGGTGGGAGAGGCGGAAGTTGGCACTGAGAGAAGAAGCCTAAGATGGAAGTCCTGACCCAAAGGATGAGCAATCTATCTCCCACAGCATAAAGAAAATTACAAGATAATTATTACACCTTTGGGAAAGACATGTTCATTGATAGATTGCTTGTGAGTGTATAACACATACATGAATATAAAGTACACTTATATAACACATACTTGTCTATCCATGTTTATCTCATAAAAGACATTCCATAGACCAGGTAGCAAGGATGATGAGTGGACATCAGCTGTAATACACAGACTGAACTCTACAAGACCACAAATAGAAGACCAAGAGGTTATATATTCATTGCTTTGAGCCTATGGTCAAGTTGTTTGGATAAATATAAAAATGTTGAGCATAAAATAATCAATTCAAGCATTAAATAGACCTCTATTCACCATCACATTGAGTGACATGGAAAGGAATGAAGAAAAGAAGGAAAAAAATGAAATGTTCATATGCATATATAAATACTGCCCTCAACAGTTTCTAAGGGCTACAACAGGGGAAAACTAGCAAATTAATTAATTTTTCTTTGATGCATACTTTTATTGTGAAGGGTAATTATTTGTTTAATTAAGATCCTGGGCCTTGATCAGGGATGTTAGGACAAGAAAATACTTGAGAATCTGCTTCCTACTGTAAAATACAAGAGTAGGAAATTTAAATAGACACATGGAACATAAGCATCTTTCATTTACTAGCACCTATAATCAGGACAGATCTTCATACTTCAACAGATATTAATCCTTGGAAAGAGAAATGCAATCACAATCATAGATTATGAATTACCTAATTTTTTATTCTGGCTTTTTCTATTTCCCACACCTAGGCCTTCACACAGCCTGCCCTCCATTCCTATAATGCATTCCTTTCTCAGTACCACCTCTTATACCCCAAGTTTCCTTAAGGGGTCCTCTTGTATACAATCTCCCATAGGAAACCTTTCCAGATCTTCATAGATGTTAATGTTCATTCTCCTCAAATACTATGTATATTTGTATCTGTTTACATGTTGTAGCTAACCACTAAGTTTCTTGAGGGCAGGGACCATTTTTCATTTAGTCTTTGTATCCCTAGCACCTGACCCAATGAATTACATAATATAGGTGCTGAATAAATGGTTGTTGAATGGGATTCTATAGTAATGTTGATAGACAAGTAGACAGATAGATAGATGATAGATAGATAGATTTTTATGTATTATGTTTAAAAGTATATATGAACCATTAATAAACATGTATAAAATTAATAGCCATTCCTTAATAGATAAGTGATCAAAGAATATGAACAAACAGTTCACAAGAGAAGAATTACAAAGTATTCATAATCATATGAAAATGTTCCAGATCACTAATAATAAGAGAAATGCCAAACTAAACAACCCTGACTTTTCACCTCACACCTCTCATATTGGCAAAAAGAATGACCAAAAAAAATGAAAATAGTCAATGCTGGAAGGGTTTTGGGATGACAAACAAACTAATACATTTTTGGTGGAGCTGTGAAGTGGTATAGCCATTTCAGAAAGCAATTTGGAATTATACAAATAAAGTGACTAAAATGTCCATACCCTTTGAACTAGTAACTCCATTATTGTTATTCAGTCATGTCCACATCTTCATGACCCCATGGGCCAAACTGTCCATGGAATTTTCTTAGCAAAGATACTGGCATGGTTTGCCATTCCTTTCTCCCATGAATTAAGGCAAACAAAGGTTAAATGACTTGCTCAGGGTCACATGGTTAGTAAATATCTGAGGCCAGATTTGAACTCAGGTTCTCCTGATTCCAGGCCCAGTGCTCTATCAAACTAAATCATCTAGCTGCTTCAAAGTAAGAACTCATCATTGTTTCTCTCCACAGAAATCTTTAATAAAAGGCAAAAGATTCATACAATCTGAAGAGAAACCAGAGCATGTGACTCCATTACTTGGTTTATATCCCAAGAAAGCCAGCAATAAGAAAGTTCCATATACTCCAAAATATTTATAGCAGCACTTTTTGTAATAGCCAAGAATTGGAAACAAAGTTGATGCCCACCAATTGGGAATGGCTAAACAAAATGTAATGGAATATTACTATGCTATAAGAAATGATGAGCATAGAAAAGAACAGAAAGATTTGTATGAACTGATAAAAAATGAAGTAAGCAGAGCCAATGTATATAATACACACACACACACACACACACACACACACACAGTAACTACAACAATGTAAATGGAAAGAACTAGATACCCTAAAATCAAAAGTAAATGTAACAAACTTATAAAGATCAAGCAGTACTCGAACGAACAGATATGAGAAGACACCTCCAACCTAACCCTATGTAGAGGTGGAATATCCATGGGTGTCACACTTTGTCCACGTTTTCGGATATTTTTGATGTATCAGTCAGTTGTTCTGACTTCTTCCTCCCACTCTAAAACACAGTACTTGTCATGTGGGATTGCTGTCAGAGAGGAGGAAGGATACTTGGGATTACTATGGTGATGTAAGAAGCAGAAAATATTCATAAAAACTTACTGTTTTAGAAAAAGAGCTACTGTATCAGATTGCACGCCATCTTGGGGCAGAAGGCAGGGAGGGAAGGGGAGAAAAATTTAAAACTCAAAAGCTTATGGAAGTGATTGTTGATAAATCAAAATAAATTAATAAAAAAAGAACTGATGTTTCAAATATTTTTATTATATGGGACAAAAAGTGAAAACATTATCTTCTTCTTTGTCCAATTGACTGCTCTTTTCCCTAAATACTTCCTCTTCCTTTTTTTCACTCTCGGTTGCATAGGGTTTTTTCTCTGTCTACTTATTTTTTTTTTCTTCTATCCTGTCTCAGACACTTTTTTCATCTGGTTGTTTGGGAGGGGACTAAATTATAGAGTCACAGATGCAGAGCTGGAAGGTGTCAAACCCCTCATTTTAAAGACAAGGGAAATGAGGCCCCCAAATTGTAAAATGATTTGCTCAAGATCTCATAGCTTGCAAATTAGTAAAGCCAGGATTTGAACCCAGGACCTCTGCCTCCCGATCTGGCATGCTTTCTGTCCCATTCTGCTTCCTCTTTTAGACTATCCACCAAGTTTTGCAGCTGTCTCTGTGGCTCTTTCCTACCAGCAATTGCCAGACCCCTTTATTTCTGCTCCATTACCCTGGCTTCATAAGTGCATTTTGTACTTAATTTTTTTTTTACACGAAACACTCAATAAATCCACAGTGCTTCAAATACCAGGTGCTAAACTCCTGTGGCCGCCAAAGTTCCTTTATAAGCCTATAGCATCAGATGAAATAAAGTCGAATAAAATGTTTGCTGCTCCCCAACTCTCCTGCTATCTCCCTGTCTAATCGCTGCGGGTTCCATTAGATTGGGGCTGCTTGAGGATCTCCCTGCTGGGTCTCCTTCCAAGAAGAGAATGACTTTAAAGGGAAACTGTTGACCTGGAATTCTGGGACTCAGCTAAGGAAATTCTTCATGGAATCAAACACTATGGTAATAAAGAGAAAAAGTTAGTGCCCACACACTACCACAGTGCAGCTAAATGGCAGCAGCAAGCTAACATGACCTAAAGTCTTCTCCTTCCCCTTTCCTATTCTCCCCCTCTCCCCTTCTTTCTCCCTCTTCCCTCCCACCTTCCCCACCCCTACATACCCAGCCAGATCAGGCCGGCATTGTTCATATTCGATTCTCAAAGCCCATTAAGAGCTGTGCTGTCTGCAGAGAAAAGAGGGGAAGGAAGAAACAAAGCTTCCTCTCCCTCCCACCCCACCCCATTTCATTGTGAGGCTTTCCCCCCTTTTTCTATTGTCTGTGTCAGCACAACCATTGTGACTTACAAAAATGGCTCGGATCTGTAGAACGCTTTTCCAAACAGTATTGATAGTATTTGAAGCACCTTGACATTTAAAATGATAAGGAGAACAGTCAAGTCGTTAACATTGATTGAGCCCCTACTATGTGCCAGGCCCTGTGCTAGGTGCTGGGGTTACAAAGAAAGCTAAAAGACAGCGTCTGCTCTCAAGGAGCCCACAGTCCAGTTGAGTAAACAACTATGCAACTATGTACAAACAAGATACACGCGCTAGCTAAATTGGCAGTCATCTCAGAGGGAAGGCTCTAAGATTAAGGAGAACTGGGAATGGCTAAAGATGAGACTTTAGGTGAAACTGAAAGGAAGTCAGGAAAGCCTGGAGGTGGAGATGAGGAGGAGAGAATTCCAGGAATGGAAACATCCGGAGTTGGGAGATAGCACATTCCAGAAACATGGAGCAAGCTACTACCACTGGATCATGGTGCATGGAGGGAAGAAGAGATCACATTTTTCTAGCATTTAATGGAACAAAGTGTTTCCCCTACAATAGCTAATGAAGGAGGTGGTACTAATATTACTGCCCTGGAGCCACTAGGTGGTGCAGTGGATAGAGCACTGGTTCTGGATTCAGGAGGACCTGAGTTCAAATGCGACCTCAGGCACATAACACTCACTGACTGTGTGACCCTGGGCAAGTCACTTAACCCCATTGCTTAGCCAAAAAAAAAAAAAAAGTCATTGACTCAATTTTAGCGATGAAGTGGAGAGGGGCTGAATGAGCTGCTCAAAGTCACGCAGGTACGCAGCAATCTCAGTCTCTTGCTTTTTATTACATTTTTAAGTCAAGTTGACTCCAGGTCAGTGGAGGTCACATGTATGGTCCCATGGTACCACACCTTTAGTTTTAGAAACGAATGGGAATCATAGCAAAGAAATGGAAAGAAAATAGATGTCTATCTATTGGAAAATGCCTTACAGATAGTGGCATGTGAATGTAATAGAATATTATTGCCCTATGAAAAACAGTAAATATAAAGAATTCAGAGAAGCATGAAAAGACATCTATGAACTGATGCAGAGTAAAGTAAGCAGAACCAGGAAGACAATATATACCATGACTATAAGTATGTAATTGGGAGGAGTGGGGAAAGGAACTGAATGTTACGTAATTATAATGATAAAGTTTTTCCCTGAAGAACAGATGAGAAAATGTACCTCCCTGCCTTTGGATAGCAGTGGGGAAACTATAGGTGTGGAATATTTAATATGCCATCAGACTCAATATGCTGCTTAATTTTGAATGCTTTTTTTACCTCTCCTTTTTTTTCTTTTTTTTTTTGTTATCAGAAATGACTCAATGGGTAGAAAATAAATATGTTAAAAATGAAGGTAATTTTTAAAAATTTGTGTTAGCATTTTTAAAAGAAAGAAAAGAAATGAGTTGCATGAGGTTGCTAGTGTGATAGCTCTTGAGGAAAGTCTGCTCTCCAAAAATCTGTTTTTATGGAAAAGACAAATTAAGGGGTGGTTCTTTGCTTTATAGTTTGCTAGCCTTGAAACTAGGAATACCTGAGTTCAAATCCTACTTCTCACATATATTGGCTGTGTGGCTGTGAGCAAGTCACTTAACCTTGCAATACCCTTAAGGCCAGAGGTATCAAACACAGACAGCTCCAGGGAAATATGAAGACCTCAACATTCCTGAGTGAGGCAAAACCAAATTAAAATGTAACTAGTAAATATTTAGCAAAATAAATAAAACTACAATAAAATGTAGATAATGTTAATATATGGTTTTCTAAATCAATATGCAGCCCGCAGGGAGTCTTCTGTTCTACTTAGTGGCCCCCTGTTTTTTTGAGTTTGAAGTCACTGCTCTAGTTTGAGTTGTTTTGAGTTTGAAGCCATTACTCTTTAAAACTTTAAGATGGGTCAGCTAGATGGTACAGTGGATAGAGCACTTGCCCTGGGGTCAGAAGGACCTGAGTTCAAATCCAGCCTCAGATACTTACTAGCTGTGTGACCCTAGGCAAGTCACTAAACTCCATTGCCTAGAAAATGACAACAACCAAAAAAACGCCTTTAAGATGGCAGAAAAGGTTCTTATCTATATTGATAGAGAGGGAGTATCCTTGCCTGGAACTTCCCTTTACCAATGAAATCATAGTTATAGTTCCTATATCCATCCTATTACGATTCAGTATTGAATTAATTTGTTACAAGTTCATCTAAGGCATTTAAAATACAACACTATTTACTCAAATTCAAATTCCAGCTCAACTTTTCAGGAATGTATCTATTGTACAAAACACCATACAGGTGGTACAAAAATGACCAGATGACAACTGTGGGCTAAGTTCAATTATGGTGGGTTCCTCTACATCGGTAAGTTGTCCAAGCAACATCTCCAAAGGATATTAATTCAGTCTGGATTGTTGGGTCCCCCAGTGGACCTCAGTTTCTTTTTTGGTAAAAATCATAATAACAACCACAATAATAATAAGCATTTAAATAACATTTCAAAGCACTTTTTAGATATCTCATTTGGTCCTCACAACAAACCTGGGAATTATTATTGCCTATTATTATCATCACTTTATTGATGTGGAAAATGAAGCACAGAGAGGTTAAGGAACTTGTCCAGGGTCACACAGCTAGTAAATGTTTGAGGTCAAATATAAACTCAGGTCTTCCTGACTTCAAGTCCAGCAGTCCTATCCATGGTGCCTCTTAGAGGGGGTTAGGGTAGATTGTTTCTTAGGCTTCTTCTAAATTTGTGCTCCTAGACTAAATCACTGGTCTTTTGTTCCTCATCTGTCAAGTAAGGATAATAATATCTGTACTATGTCCCTCCCGAGGTTGTTGGTAGTATGATCAATGGCAGTATTGATTGCACACACACACACACACACACACACATACACACACACACACACACACCCTTCCCAGTGGAAATGTAGAAATCCCTCTTTCTGAAAACCAAGCCTACGTGCTCTCTTTTAGAGTCTGTGGGGCTGTCTCCCGGGGCAGGAGAAGGAATGGATGTCTAGAACCCAACATGGAGCCATTTATCCCCTCCTTTCAAGTGGGAGACTTTTTATCTCTCTTT